GGTTGATTCCGAGGTGTCCAGTGCTGGAAAGGAGCAGAGAGGTGACGTGACTGAGGATGGTATCTGTTGAGATTACACAGCCATTCTCCTGCAGAGTATTAAGTTCATAATATGACGAAGGTCCTTGTGTACAGTTTAAACATTTCTATGTGAGTGTCTGTTGAAAGTGTTTCAGTAAAAGCAGTTTTTTCAAAATCAAGAGTAAATCAGCACCATTTTTTCTTCTTCTTTTTTTTTCCCTCAAACACAGTAAATACTAATTATTATGCTGACCCTTAAATTCACAACAGGTTTCATCCTAATATTTAAAACTTCTTTTACATTTTTCTGTTTTTTCTATTTTTCAATTGCTTTACTTTACCTGCATTGTATTTAAAATTACTTACTGCATAAAGTTTGACACCTTTCCTGTAAAGTACTCAGAAGTTAGGTAAGGTTAAGCCATTCCATAATACAGCCACATGCCCCGAAGTACTGCATACTTGCTAGCCCCTTATTCTAGTGTACTTACCTTTAAGTATATGTTGGTAATTTCAAATTAAATATGTTAAAATTCCATTTCATTACAGGGGAACAGTGCTCTTAGTCGCAGGCCACATTATGAAGTGTTACCCTACAGATGTGTCATAGCTATATGTATTACAAACATACAGAGTATTCACAGCCTCTTTAAAGGTTTCTTTTATCTAATTGCACAAATAAAAGAATCACAACAGATCACAGAACTGCTTTCCTTACCGCAGCTATGCACGTCGTGGTGGGGAAGTAAAAAGGGAGTACAGTGTTGCCACTCGTTGTCATCTTTCAGCGGCAAAGGAGCCTCGAGTTCCTCTTCGATATCACTCTGAGGTTGAGCGTCGCATTCATCCTCCCCTCTGAAAATGAATGCTTTAACTAATCAAATGTGTGCTAGTATTTTACTCCCTAAAAGTGTAACATGGTTACCTCGCTGTGTTTCCATTTGCAGGCTCAGTTGTTCCACAACGCTTTGCTCCACATTCCCAGCAGCCGCACACTCTTTTTGTGCCATTCGGCATCACTCCTTGAGAAAAGCAGTCATCAGAAGACTGATGATGTAGATTCATCCTGGAAGATGTTTCTCTTCCATCTTCTGGTTCTCTGGGTTGGATCATCTCCACATGCTGCATAAAATGAAGTTTCTGCTCGCAAAACTCTTGATTCATTTCTCTGCATCTGTTTGGGCTTCGGTAGAAATAATCTGCATTCATGCAGCATCTCGGTCGATCTATTTCATTTTCTCTTACTCCAGCGTTCATAAGTTGAAAGCTGTTTTCTAGCTTTGGCTCCTTTCCAGATTTCTCCATTTTATCTCAGCTTGAGACACATCCTGTACCACATCAAATTAGATGATGTGTAAAACAAACATTTCCGTATGTTAAAATCAATAGATCGAGCTTAACTTACTTGCAGGTATAAAAAAACAACAACACGAAAGTTCATGCTCATAAACATGTCTATTGTTAAGTACCAGAAAGAGGCATCACCCTCCTGTTAAAAGTCTGGTTTCAGGACTCCTGTGAATGCACAGACTTGCACTGGAACATACTATATGCAAATATCTCACGCCTTTGCGCGTCCAATCAGAGCCAAGAATGCAGTTTGTATGTCTGTGCCAGATTGGACAGGAAAGCCTGCATGAGTAAGGAGTTTAGTTGTTTTTAAACTCTTTGTGTAATTGTGAAACTGTTTTTTATAAGCAGTCCACATTAGAACTTAAAAAAAACAAAACAAAAACAAAGCGTGGGATAAAACAGGCTTAGGTTATGCATCTGATTGATATCTGGCTTCAGGGCATAGATGTATCCGATGATTTGCATATTCAGCCTTGTCATCGGTGTGAAATTCACCCTGAGGGAAAAAAAAACAAAACCACAGGCTCATTTATACTCTGTCATTTTCAATAGTCATGTCTGCTTATTCACCATGCCTGTGGCTGAAGAGAACCTGAAATTTCTTGAGAATGGGAGCAGTCAGACGAGCTTCACAAACAGTGTTAAATAGTGCGTCGTAATGGCAGGATTCTTTATTTCAAAAACAGCTGTGCACGCAGAACAGACAGAGACAATAAATAGAGACCAAAAGTTTTGAATACCTACTAAACTCAGGGCAAACGGAGTGATACAAAAGTTTCTGCTGACTTTTACACCCGTGGAGAGCAACATAAATACACATAAATGGCACATTGTCATGTGATTACACACTAAGAGTGAGAGGAGATTGATAGTAAAGGAAGATGAAATGCTATCCAAAGCCGAATGCCTGGAAATAATCAATTATTCGCTTCTCTTAACTGGCTGAAATGTTCTTAAAATGAAATTAAAAGGTATTTGGTCTCACAAACTGTTATATTCAAATACACATTATGGAGGGACAAACACAGGTACACATCCTTCATTCATATCATGTAAGTGGCAGTTTGTTTGGCTGTTGAAGCATAAAGACAGTGTGGAAGTCTTACACAGCCTGCTGCCATCTGCAACATACATTTAAAAATACTGTCAGTATACTAAGCAGTCAGCTGAACAAAGATTGCAGTTAGAGAGGAGTTCAGTCCTCATTTGAACTACGTAAAGCTCAACTTAAAAGTCACTTTAAGCCAGTCCTAAAAAAAGATCACTGGCAGAAGCTGGAATGCAATGAATGCACAATATTAGTGCAGATGGCATACAGTTTTGGGAGGAAGAGTCCATGATGCACTGAGTTAGTGTGTGTAAAGCATGAAGGCATTCCCTTACATTATAAGAATATTACTAAACAAGAAAAGGCAAGAACAGGTGTTATAGTACATCTAAAGTCCTTGAGAAGAGGAGAAAAGTATTGTTACATTAACCTTATAAAAAAAAAAAGAAAACAGAAAAAGAAAAAAGTCAGTGGACTCCCAGAAAAAGGAAAAAACTAATTTTCAGATACACTTTGGTCCACAGTGTCTAACTATTCCCAACAATTATTAATCCTACATCTGTAACCAGCTTGTGAGCCTCACACACTTCTCTACGAGCCATAACAAATGTAACCTTGCATTTAAAAATGGAAAAAAAAGAAGAAAAAATAAAATCACACATTTCCAAATTATCAAAAGGAATACAAAACAGAAAAAAGATAATAAGTAAACAAGCAATTTGTATTTACATTACATACACGTTACGCAACAGAACTCATGTCGTTCATCCATGACAGTCACTTCTAATTCTGATAGTCACGTTGCTGTGTTTGCACCCCTCTGTCCTGTTTGTATGACGTCTGAAGGTTGGAAAGCGAGTCTGCCAGCTTTTAAAACCATTAGAGCCGCAGAATGAGAAAGAACGCGTGGTGTCTGGCTCCCTCTGGTGGAATTTTGGTGAAACGACATGAGACGAGGGCCGCGGCGCTCAGAGGTTATCCCCTGGCTGATACTGAGGCTCAGTGGCAGTGAAGTAGTCCTCCAAAAAGGCTTGCAAGTACTCAAAGGTGGGCCTCTCTTCTGGGTCTTTCTTCCAGCACTGTAGCATTAGCTCATGCAGGGACGAGGGGCAGTCCTGGGGGCACGGCATCCGGTAGCCTCGCTCCACTTGCTCCAGCACCTCACGGTTGTTCATGCCTGAACAAAGGAGCACAGAGAGTGAGACTTTAGGGCTGTGCTGCCATCAAATCACCAAGTTTGTAAGCAATCTTTCTGTGCCGTTTCCATAAATTGCATTATTCTAGACTTTGCTTTTGAGTTTCAGTATCGTGGAACAGATTAGTAGATGACTTCCTGCACCTACTATTGGTTGCAATGTGACATTAAGATGGGGGTAATAGTCGATTAGCATAAAAATGTGAACAGTCAAGGCGGGAAAGAGCCTTCCGTTTTGATCTGAACTGAAGAAATAGTGCTTATTAAGGTTAAAATGGAATTATAATGTCAGTGAAACTGGAACAATTCACATTCATTAGCTTGGAACATTTCTATGTATAATGCAAAATGCAGTGTGCATTATGCAACTAACTACTGCTTTTTTCCCCTCTTAAATCATGCAAAGTCTCGTGTCACAGCCTGCATTAACTGAAAGCAGCCATTTGATTGGTTTTGAGAGGTGATTACATAACCCACAAAGCTCAGCACTCTCACCTGGATAGGGCACTCTGCCCTTGGTCACCAGCTCTGTCAGCAGGATACCAAATGACCACACGTCTGACTTGATGGTGAATTTCCCGTAGAGGGCAGCCTCAGGAGCGGTCCACTTTATGGGAAACTTCGCACCTAAAATAAATTCAGGTGATATTAATTTCACAAACATTCTCAAACTTTTATTATTTTGCTTCTGCATCCCTCCAG